TTCATACTTTTCCCAAAGGTGTAGATCAAATAGATGAGTCTGATGTAAATGAAAATCCAAATTCAATACAGAATTGGTGCACTGCAAATAAGCTGACTATCAATGCGTCAAAAACAATTTCATCTACTTTAGTAGCTGTAGAAGAAAGGCCGTGCTTAGAGGGAGATTAAAATATCTGAGGCAGAATTAATAGAAGTGGAGGAAGCAACACTTGTTGGCATTACCATTGACAGACATTCAACATGAAATTCACATATAAAATCTGTTAATGACTATAAACGGAGAAAGGTCGGTATCCTCTTTAAATTACGGCTCTTTGTCCCTAAACATATATTGATACTGTTGTATAAAGCTCTGATACAGCCACATATTATATATGGCATCGAGGTTTAGGGTAGTATTTATAAATCACAGTTGAATTGTATATTTTATACTTAAAAGCTGGCTGTATGTGCTATAAATTTCAAGCCACATCGTTCTCATACTAATGCACTGTTTCATTACCTCAAATTGTTGAATGTTTTTAAATTGCATAAATTATTTATTTGTACTTTTGTGTTTGATTTGATAAATGAACGATTACCTCATTCCTTAAAACATTATTACAGTATGATACAACATGCATATTCCATAAGACAAAAAACGGGTCGACAATTACGTCTTCCTTTATTAAATACAGACGAAGGAAAGTTTTCTGTTTGTAATTTTTGGAATATGCTTCCTACTGATCTAAGAATTGAGAGATTAAGCACCTCTTTTCGTAAAAAAAACTTTCAAAATTACTCTTGGGTAAGAACCAAGAATTATAACCTCGTAATAACATAGATGTAAATAGCAACTAATCTCGGTTTTTTTTAATTGTAATATTATACACAAATCTTATTTATAGGATTCAATTGTGGTGAATAAATTCAAATTTAAATTAAATTCAAATTCAAATTATATAATCATTCCGTAATAACCCATTATAACTATAAATTGGCACAACAATTGATAACAGGCATGCGCTGGGATCTTCCTTGCTCGCGGTTTATTTTTGTTCACACTCGCTTTATTGGCAGCTTACTATGATCGATAGGCCTATATCTGAGGGTTGTCGTGGAGCTAATCAAAGCCGTAAATGTATAATTCTACAAAGTCATTGTGCATTGCACGAAGCAATCATTCCCTCAATCGGTGTCTATTGTTTTGTGCAAAAATGCTCGTGTGGCATACGAGAGACCGTGCGAAGAAAGCTGCATGAACCCTTCAAGCGCTATCATTAATAGTAGATATAAAGATGCTGCATCCCCCCCGGAAATATTTTAGGAAGGGAAAATTACCCCCTTTTTACCCCCTTTTACCCCCTTCATAAACAGTGCCCTTTGCAGCGTAAATGTGTAACGACATAGGTAAATGAACTTTGGCATTGTTTGTTGTCGGTTAACAATAATTTTGTGACTATTATATGGTATATCCTTGGCGCAGTACATGATAAGCTACAAAATAGACTATTTACTTGTTATGTTTGCCTAACGCACCGACTGCAGGTCAACCAGCGCCTGTATATGAACTATATTATACAGGGGTTTTAACATCATGATAGTCCCGTTCGTTTCAGGTCACATGATTTTGCTATTATACCTAAATATTCAAGAATTTGTAACGTTTCTCTCCCGTCATACAACATGCAAAATAGGCCATCAAAAAATACAGTCATATCCAAATGTTTGTACACGTTTAACAAGCGTCGAGTTATAAAATTCACATGTTATTGTTTCTCAAAAGAATGCAAACTGCATACATTAGTTGTTGATGCATGAGACGGATAAACATTCTGCCTTTATTGTATGTACATGTACTTTGCATTCTGACCATTGAAATATATAATTGAGGTGAATGTAATGATTACATTTAAATTTACGAAAATGGCCGTGATGTCAGACAGCCGCAATTTTTTGACAGGTATAATAGAGTAATGCTCTTCAAAACGATCGCTCTAAGTAGGAGCTCAGTATCACAGATAAATTTTTGTCAGTGGGCCGTGTTTAAATGTTTACAAAGCGTTATGTTATAAAGGCAACTAACCTACAACGTTTTTTTTTTCAAACACCTACCGGTCAAAGGCAGCCATGCTATCTCGAAATGTCGATCTCCGTCCCGACGCATCGTTGTAAAATGACCAGCCTTCTGATGACAACAGCTCCTTAGCCCGGCGTCGAAAATCCTCGATGGTCGTCAATGAGGCCCCTGACGAGGTTGTCATGTTTCCATCAAAAGAAAACTATTGCGTATATGCAGTATACGTTGGAGATCGACTTGGGGCCTGCACCGTTTCGCGAAACAGTCATAAGTCTAACTCCTTGGATAACTGGATCAGCGCCAGTAAGCTTATTGTCTGATAAGCGTTTCACGAAGCCCTCTTTGCCAGAATACAGTACATTGTTCATCCTGACTAATATTAGGGACTTTTAGATTTGCACAACGACAACGTGGATTGCTACGATCGACGTCCTTTAATGGACGTCACACGTATCAGTCCACGCAAATCTAAAAGTCCCTAACAAGAAGTTATGACGCCTCCGATCCTGTCCTGTCTCTCTCATAACTTTTAAGTCGATGTGCAACGCCCTCACAAACCATTTAGGCTATGGCTGGCAAAAGGACTAGCAATCCTCCAGCTATGATCTTTCTACACATTCCCTTAAACAGGGATTTGTCCTTCTTTAAACATTTCAAATTGTATGAAAATATGTCATGTTTATAGATCTGTCCTTTTTCTTCAATGAACTAAACTGATTCTATCAAGTTTTCGGAAGCAAATCAAAATTAAAAATATTAGTGCTCTCATTTTCCATAGTTTTACATACTTTTTCAAAAATTCATAACTTTCTTATTAGTTATCTGATTTTGCTCAAACTTGTTTTAATTGGTTTGTCTGATTTTTCTGCTTCTATTGAAAGTAAGTTATTTTTGAAGTGGACTTGGCCTTTAAGCAGAGTTAAAATCGATCGTAGAAAATAGGTTTTACACTTGAACTTTGAAGTATTTATAGGCAACATAATTATTATTTGAGATGAGTCCTATTATTTTAAACATTCGCAGGGTTTATAGGCTAGCTTACTGATCTATTTCCAGTAAGTTTTTGAAAAATCAATTCAATGTATCTTCATCATAATAATTCTACAAATCATAGAATTCCTTCCTGAATGATTTGTATTCTCACAGAATACACATTTACTACTATATTAACACAAGTTTACTACAACGAATAAATAATGCTACTTGTAATGGGATCATGCACGTTTATGGATTCAAACGGCAAAAATCGTATTCATAAAATCTTAGGCGTGGAAAGGTGTGATTGCATCATTAACTGTATTATCAATATTAGGCCCCCCAAAAATTGGTGTTCCTCGATTGCTATTGTGGAGTAGGGGCGGGCGGGCGGATTTTTGTTGTGTGTGTGTGTGTGTGTGTGTGTGTGTGCGTGTCTGTCTTTTTGTGACCCCCCCCCCCCCCCCCATTTAAAAAAAAATCTTTAAATAATTTTTTCCATAATTTTTATTTTTTTATTGGGATGTCAAGCATTTAAACAACAAAGTCTATAAAACACTTTAATATAGTAAAAGACTAGTTTAATGTACAATGAATATCAAGACCAACACAGAATGTATTTTTGGCTTTGAAATACAGCACCTTTAAAATCTCCATTGTACTACTTATCACGGAGTCTCAACTCCGCTTCTGCATCCATCTAGCCATGGGGAGATTTTGGAGGGTCAAAAAGTGAACGCTGCTTCCACTTTTCATGTATAAGCCTATGGAGACGACAATTGTTTAGTGCCCAGCGAAATGGGGATTTGGGCTGCGCGCAGCGCGCAAAATATTTAAATTAAAATTTGAAATATTCATGAGCTCTTTTCCACTTATGATGCAAAGAATAGTCAAATTATAAATGAAGTACAGAACTGCTATATGAACGTTTATCCTCCAGGGGCGGATCTAGCTTTTTGGTAAGGGGGGGGTTGACCAAAATAATGACGATGCGGAGCATCGTCCACGAGCCGCGAAGCGGCGAGCCGATTTTTTGGGGGGTGTTTATTTGAACCCCGTAAGTGATGTTTTCCTGGCATCTATTAACACAATGGAGACCATAAAAAGCAGTGCATAATAACGTCTTTTTAAATCAAGTAACAGTTAAATACACAGTTATATCCAGAGTTATCATGTGTTTGGTTAAGTTACCTGATGAGTTGAATATCTTCTCACAATATTTGCACTTGAAAGGGTTTCTCTCCAGCGTGCGTTCTTTTTTCTTTTTTTTTTCTTTCTTTTTTTCTTTTTTTTTCCTTTTTTTTTTTTTTTTTTTTTTTTTTTGGCCGCCCAAGGGGGGGTTGCAACCCCCCAACCCCCCCTGGATCCGCCACTGATCCTCCATCTAGTATTGGAGTATGTAAATACAATAAAGCTAGTCTAGGGTTAATAAAGAAAAGGCAAGTCTAATATCAGCACACCCTCCGCACACGTGCATCCACACAAACAAGTGTTCGATCCATAGGTTCGAATACAGAGAGAGCCGAGAGAGAGAGAGTGGGTCGGGGGACAATCCTGCTTTTCTTTCATTTCGGTTTTCATCCTAATCGGAATAAACCATTTTGATCTTAAAACATATGTTTTTTATTACAATTACAGAATCACATGTTCCATTTCACAAAACATGCTCAATAATTAGTAATTAACGAAAAATCACAATTTAAAATTCTCACGCTATACTTAATGGTGTATCTGATCGGATATGAATTGGCAAGAAAACGAATTTCGACCAATCAGTGGAGAGAGAGAGAGAGAGAGAGATATAGAGAGAGAGTTGGGGTATAGGGTTACGGTATAAACCAGCTCCTAAGTTCAAGTTTTTTCTCGGATGAACTGGGGAGTGACATTCTTGTGCCTCTTAGCTTTGCCTGTGAATGAGAGACAATTCCTCTCAGCTGGACGGAGTTTGATCGACGAGGGTGGATTCATAGGTAAGATTTCCGAGCTATCAATGATGGCGGAATGTCTTGAATACTGGTGCAACCTGTCAAATATCAAACAAACAGTGCAATTTCATGAGGTATGTGTATCCTTAAAGTGTACCAACCATCAGAATATATATATATATATATATATATATATATATTTGCTCTGTACTTCAGGGGTATGTAGAGCTTGTTATATTGATAATATACGAGCTCTAGATATTGCATCTACAAAGAGATATTGTAAGACAATAAACATTATACTTGTCAGTATTTCGTTACTTGTATTCTTTTGTTCTATTATATATTGTATTACTGTATGATTTATATATGTCATTTAATTTGTGGATATTTGAATGGAAAATTAATCAAATCAAATCAAATCAAATCAAATCAAATCAAGTAATCTGTCCCAACATAAAAGATGAAACAACAAAAGTCAACTTTATCGACTACAATTTATTTAGGACAGGCAGACATGGTAAACTTACCTGAAATGCCTAGAGCTGTGTCCAGTTCGAATCGTAAGATTGATAATACCTTAGTAACTCCAGCCGGACCCTGTGAAAAAGAAAAAGAAAAAGAAATAGAAATATGAAAATGTGCCTAAAATATGAAGGTTTTTATATGTGCCGGAACATAGATAATTAGCCGCGGGTATCATGCGTACAACTGTAATAAGCATACGAGAAGTACAAGATTGCAATTAAATGAATTGTGAGTTCTAAACTCCTTACGCTACTCGATAGATTAGTCTAAGACAGTGTAAGTATAAAGTCTGAGTAAGACCGATCGGTAGTCTCCTTGACATTGAGTTCTCAGCTCCTTTCATATTCACACGTTCACTACTCCCCTGACTTTACGTGTGAGTCTAAGTCTCAGCAAGACCGTTCTGTAGTCTCGATCCTGACCCGTGAATTCTCAGCTCCTTCCATATTCACACGTTCACTACTCCCCTGACTATACGTGTGAGTCTCAGTCTCAGTAAGACCGATCGGTAGTTTCCTGGACCGTGAATTCTCAGCTCCTTCATATTCACACGTTACTCCCCTGACTATACGTGTAAGTCTAAGTCCGAGTAAGACCGATCGGTAGTCTCCTTGACCGTGAATTCTCAGCTCCTTCATATTCACACGTTACTCCCCTGACTATACGTGTAAGTCTAAGTCTCAGTGAGACCGATCGGTAGTCTCCTGGACCGTGAATTCTCAGCTCCTTCATATTCACACGTTCACTACTCCCCTGACTATACGTGTAAGTCTAAGTCTGAGTAAGACCGATCGGTAGTCTCCTTGACCGTGAATTCTCAGCTCCTTCCATATTCACACGCTACTCCCTGGATTAGTGTAAGTTTAAGTCTAAGTCTCAGTAAGATCGATCGGTACAGTCTCCTGGCCCAGGAGTTCCCAGCTACTTACATCACAAGCTAGCCCCCAGAGGGCTGGTCTACCTATTAGTACTGCCCGTGCCCCCAATCCGAGAGCCTTGAGTGCATCGGTTCCTGATCGTACCCCTCCATCCATGTAAACCTCAACCCCACGACCTTTGACCGCTGACACTACTTCCGCAAGGACGTCAATCTGTGAACAGATTAAAAAACTTTCACTTGCACGAGATTACGAACATAATTCACTTCCATGAGAGGATGTTGAGGGGGAGATTGAAGAAAGGTGGCGCCGGAAAAGCAGTCTTTTGTGGTGTAGGATTGAAGGGTGCATTAACAACAAAAACAACTTTAGAGGTAAAAGGAAGCTTCCCATAGTACTTCTGTTGATTTCATAAACTTTCTGGGAATACTCTTGTGGCCCACATCACCTTTCCTCCTGCCGAATAGGCACAAGGGGAAATAACTTTCCTATCGAATGAATGGCCCATCAAAAGTCTTATTAACATGTTTTCATTCCATAAAAATGCCAAAAAGCAACATTCGTTACCGGAGCAGGTACTCCATCCATGTGCCTTCCACCGTGAGCTGATACAATGATTCCAGAGACTCCGGCATCAGCCGCTTCCATCGCAGCCTCGCCTGTAACAAGAATCAAGAAGTTATGGGAGGAGATATTCTAAACATCATCGCAAAGACTTTCAAAAAAACCAACTCACAAGAGCAATTTCAATAAACAATTGTAAATCACATGTTACTGATAACACCATCATCATCATCATCACTAAAGTCAGCAATTTCCCTCTCACGAGGGGTTACTGACCATCAAGATGACACCCCCCCCCCACTTCTTCCTATCTCGAGCATCCTCCTCATTGAGATGAACATTACTGATCTTTTGGATCACCTTATCTTTTCACCAGGGGCGGTGACCACGGAAGGACGGGGGTACACGTCCCTCCACCGTCACCCCCCGGAAAATTTGAAAAAACGCAAAAAAAGAAAATGTATAGCAAATGCTGACTAAAGACTGCAACACACTTTTATGCTCTTGAGGGCCAAAGAGTGCAGCGTTTAGACGTATACATGTGCAAAAAAAAATCTTCTCGTTGCGCTAGCTTGCATAAAATCCTTCAAAATGTACAAGTAAATATTGTAGAAAATCTGTATTCCGTTGGTATCACGTAAGTACAGTTTACACTGTATGTTTACAAGATTAAGAGTTATAAAAATATAGAAATTCCGCTTCCTGTCTGATAACAGTCACTTCCGTCGCCTTCGCCCCTCTCGTTCACTATATGCTCCTCCCTCGTCCCTCGCATTTCGTCCCCCCGGTCATGAAGAAATCGTCACCTCTGCCTATCACCCCCAAAAAGGTTTTCCTTTCCGTTTGATGCCATCCACTTTAAGATCCCACGGTCTTTTCACAATTCATCATCTTCCCTTCTCCGTATCCGGACATCTACCCCCTGGACATCCACCCCAGGATACCCCCTCCCAGTCAACTACCCCCTAGAACAACTACCCCCTTTGAAAAATACCCCCAGGACAACTACCCCCGGAAAACTACCCCCAGACAACTACCCCCTAGGATAGATGTACTAGAGGATGGTTGTCGTTGGGGGTAATTGTGCGACGGGGTAGTTGCCTGGGGGTAGTTGTCTGGGGGTGGTTATCCGGGGGATGGATGTCCAGGGGGTAGGTGTCCCAGAATCTCCCTTGTCAACACATGTTCACACATCCATCTCAATCCACTTCTCTTTTCCACTTCCATTACGTGTTCAAGTAATATCATCAAACTTTAGCGAAAGTTCGGTATTCCTTACCTGTAAGAATACCCTTTAGCACGATTGGAAGTGACGTTATCGACTTGAGCCATGTGATATCATCCCATGTTTTGGGTGCGTCGTACTGCTGAGCCAGGTAATGACGTATGTTGACGTCACCAGAGCGGATGGCATCATGCACTTCTGGTATGTCTATGGCTAGATTCGTTGGTCTGTACGATAAGTTAAGGTGGGTGATGACGATAAATACTTCGTAAAAAAACGTGAAAATGAAGGTCTTATAGCGAATTCGAATCGTGAATAAGAAAAAAATGTTGAACATTAAATTTCCAATTAATTAAATCAAACGATTATTGTCAAAGAAATTTTATGAATCTTTTTTTTGTGTGCATAATGAATTATTGTCATCTAATAAAAGGACGTCACACGTAGCAGTCCACTATGCCGACGTGCAAATCTAAAAGGCCCTACTGACTCCTCGTCTGCAACGCTCATTATTTTGAAGCCCATATTGTACACGAGACGTTATTCCACTACGCGAAAAGGCGTCAATATAGATTTTATAATTCAATACAACTCATGACACTATGACAATACATTATGAGCAAGAGGCTTTATCCAGACATTTACGGATGCGCCTGAGTTGTCGATCAAACCAGCAACTAGTGTTCTATACGAACGCATTGGTTTGTGTAAATCGTTGTTGCGCAAATAGTTTTCGAACCTGATTTTCTATCATATTGCGAGGCCATCGTATCCTGTTTAAAGGGGTTGCGACTGTGCCTATAAATGGCGCCTTGACCTGTTATCTGCGTTTATAATAACCGAATGTGCTTGAATTATGCTGCAGTGGAAATAGTGTCTAGTGTGTGACATGGACCTTAAAAGGATCCAGTCGATCTCTAGCATAGCTTAAAAGACAATCCAGAATAATACTACCTCAGGCTTGGATCGTGATAGTATCTCGATGCTGAAGTTGCATGCGAAGATTTGTAGAATGAATAGTCTCCCCACAGAGGTAAATCGACGGTGAGAACGATAGCTTTGAATCCTTCTCTCTCGGCTTCCTTTACCACGTGTTCAGCCAACCGTCGATCTTTGAAGAGATATAGCTGCATCCATCGTAACCCTCCCGGGGCTGCCCGCGAAACTTCTGCGATGGATGCGTTAGCAAATGATGACATTATGAACAAGGTTCCAGAATCCGCAGTTCCTGGTGAATAATTTGACATTAGCACGGATAACCGAGTTAATAGCTATATAATCATTATCACTGTTAACATTTTTTTCAGAAGGAAGCTTCCTTTTTAAAATGGAATAGTCTGATGAGGAGATATCACTGTCATAGTGCTTGATGCATACCAGGGCCCCGTCTTACAAGGAGTTACGATTGATCCAAATCAATCGCAAGTTTGCAGTCTCCGGCAGTCGATCTCCTATCTCTTATGTACATAGTAACGATTGATATCAATCGCAAATAGGTTGCGATTGATATCAACTCTTTGTAAGACGGGGCCCATGCAGCTACCCATTTATTTCACCTTTGTCTAGAGTGGCAAATATATATAAATGTCCTATCAAATGACTTTAGTGCTGTGACAGGGATTCGAACCCCGTACCTTGTGTTTCACAGGTCCGTATTAAAGGAGCTACACAAAGAAAATTCACTAAAAACTCATAATTAGAACAAATTACATATGGATGGAAAGATTTTCTCTTGAAAAACACGAACAATTTGCTGAGAAATCATATAGATATCATGGAAAGGCGTAAAATGCAATTCTTCAAGACCCTCCTTAGACCCCCGAACGCCCCTGAACGTAAGTGAAACACACAAGCGTAGCGAGCTCTGAATTGTGACGTCACACACTGGACGAACAGATCAGTGCCGTGTAGCAGTATGCAGCTAGCCAGCCGTGTCTCGTATGTGACGTCACAAATATTGACGCTCTACAAAGGACCGCTGAAGGCAGAAAATCTGGATCTCAAAACTAACATTTTTGAGAGTTGATTACTGCGGGCCCCAAACATATTTTGAAGAGAAGAGTTGTCGATTTGATCGGCAAGGCTTCCCCTTCGCAATGATATGAGTTTTGCATCAATTGAAAACACTTTTGATTCTTCGATCGTGTGGTTACTTTAAATGTAAGTAATAGGCCATTTTCGTAATGTATTCAACTTTGATGCACACATTTTGAAGTGCCTTATTACAAACTATTTCATTCACCTGTCACAAACGATTGAATGTAAAACGTGATGTTTAAATAGGTAGAACAAATGAGCAAAATTGTTTGTCCTACCTAGTAACAATTAATGTATGCAACTCGCATTCCGACTATCGAAAAAAAAACAATTATCCATAGCAGGTGAATGACATAATTTGTAGCGTGTCACTTAACAAAGATTTATGCATTAAATTTGATTACATTACAAAAATGGTCTTCCGACTCTAAACGAACCTTTAGCCGATGCTGCTTCGGCGTCTGGATGGGCGAATTGTTGTGCTGCCGTTGGCGCAACGCAGATGGGCATGCTGATTGGTTGACCTAACACCGTCGTAGACAGAGAACGCTGCGTGATGTCACGGAGGATACGAGGACGAATCACGTAGCTAGAATGGACGAGAGGTGATCAGATATACAGGGTGAGTCAGAAAAAATGTCTCACTTTTTAAAAGTTGTACTGTTGGAAGCATGAATATTTAATTATGGGTTTAATGATATGTCTTGATAGAGTTATCCTACCAGTACATTTAGGTACCATTTTCATTTGAATCCCTTCACGCATGACTGAACATCAGACAATCTTTACAAGACTGCCATAATTGTCTTGCGCCTCACTCTAAACCCCGCGCATGGTTTTATTTTGATGACAAATGCAGCGATACAAAAATAAAGGAATCTGTCGCTTGTAAACAAAAAAAGACCCCATTGTATATTCAGCTGCACACACCGCGGTATGTTCGGCGTTTCAAGAGGGAACAAATGCCGTCCTTAATATCATTCCGGGGGGTTTTCAATTTGAAAGTCTGATCTCTTTGATTGTTAATTAACCCCTATCCTGTGTATTTACAAGCAAAAGATTTTAGTTATCAGAATCGGGTCATATCCCCTTTTGAATGGTTTGACATGCCATTACATTTATATACCCTAAACTCATTATAATTTGACAAATAATAGCTGTGCAATTATGTTCATTCTTTATGGAATGTCGTCTGCTTGGGCAGTATTGGTCAATATAGTGACGTCATTAAAACATCGTTATTTTTCCGGCGAATCTCTCGTATATCCCAGCTGCTAGGGTGGTGATTGTATTTGTATTTTTATAAATCACCCGATATGTAGTTGACCTAAAACTTGTACGATGGTCATCTGTTAGCTCACCAGTTTCTAGTGATACATTAGTTGACATATTTTGTGATTTTCTTTGAATTTCACCTTTAAGAAACAAAGTTATGGCTATCAAATCGGTTTTAATTGAGCTCAGCTTTTCGGATATTCGCAAAACGTGGTCTCACAGTTATTCGCTGATCTAAGCTTTGTTCATACATGAGGTACCAAACAACCCGAAAAAAGGGTAGGCCTATATTATATCATATCATATTATATTATATCATATTACATTAAGTTATATAGCATATTGTGTTACAATTTTTATTTTATATTATATTGTACTTTATTAAAACGTCAATCTTTCATTGGAAACAGGAAATTTCCCTGATCAAATGAAAATTGGTAAAGTCACTCCACTGTTTAAAAAAGGTAATAAACATGATACAGGGAATTATAGACTCATTTCTGATTGACCAGTTCTCTACAAACGCATGACATTTTATATCATCATCAGTACGGATTTAGACGAATGTATAGCACTAAATTATCAGTAATTAATCTTATGAATACGGTATTGAAAAGTATATAAAAAAAAAACGAAGGATGTGTTACGCTTGGTGTGTTTCTTGACTTTCAAAAGGCTTTTGACACAATAAACCATAACATATTATTTAAAAAGCTATCATATTATGGCATCCGAGGACATGCACTGAAATGGCTCGAAAGCTATCTTAGTGACAGAATGCAGTATGTGAAATACAAAGAGTCATCATCAAAAAGTAGATATATCAAATGAAGTGTACCACAAGGTTTTATCTTAGGACCAACTCTGTTTTTAATCTATATAATTGACAAGCCAATAGTGACAAATTATTTCAATTTCAGACTACTTGCAGATGATTCTAATATTTTTCATACTTTTCCCAAAGGTGTAGATCAAATAGATGAGTCTGATGTAAATGAAAATCCAAATTCAATACAGAATTGGTGCACTGCAAATAAGCTGACTATCAATGCGTCAAAAACAATTTCATCTACTTTAGTAGCTGTAGAAGAAAGGCCATGCTTAGAGGGAGATTAAAATATCTGAGGCAGAATTAAGAGAAGTGAAGGAAGCAACACTTGTTGGCATTACCATTGACAGACATTCAACATGAAATTCACATATAAAATCTGTTAATGACTATAAACGGAGAAAGGTCGGTATCCTCTTTAAATTACGGCTCTTTGTCCCTAAACATATATTGATACTGTTGTATAAAGCTCTGATACAGCCACATATTATATATGGCATCGAGTTTTAGGGTAGTATTTATAAATCACAGTTGAATTGTATATTTTATACTTAAAAGCTGGCTGTATGTGCTATAAATTTCAAGCCACATCGTTCTCATACTAATGCACTGTTTCATTACCTCAAATTGTTGAATGTTTTTAAATTGCATAAATTATTTATTTGTACTTTTGTGTTTGATTTGATAAATGAACGATTACCTCATTCCTTAAAACATTATTGCAGTATGATACAACATGCATATTCCATAAGACAAAAAACGGGTCGACAATTACGTCTTCCTTTATTAAAAACAGACGAAGGAAAGTTTTCTGTTTGTAATTTTTGGAATATGCTTCCTACTGATCTAAGAATTGAGAGATCAAGAACCTCTTTTCGTAAAAAAAAACTTACAAAATTACTCTTGGGTAAGAACCAAGAATTATAACCTTGTAATAACATAGATGTAAATAGCAACTAATCTCGGTTTTTTTTTAATTGTAATATTATACACAAATCTTATTTAAAGGATTCAATTGTGGTGAATAAATTCAAATTTAAATTCAATTCAAATTCAAATTATATAATCATTCCGTAATAACCCATTATAACTATAAATTGGCACAACAATTGATAACAGGCATGCGCTGGGATCTTCCTTGCTCGCGGTTTATTTTTGTTCACACTCGCTTTATTGGCAGCTTACTATGATCGATAGGCCTATATCTGAGGGTTGTCGTGGAGCTAATCAAAGCCGTAAATGTATAATTCTACAAAGTCATTGTGCATTGCACGAAGCAATCATTCCCTCAATCGGTGTCTATTGTTTTGTGCAAAAATGCTCGTGTGGCATACGAGAGACCGTGCGAAGAAAGCTGCATGAACCCTTCAAGCGCTATCATTAATAGTAGATATAAAGATGCTGCATCCCCCCCGGAAATATTTTAGGAAGGGAAAATTACCCCCTTTTTACCCCCTTTTACCCCCTTCATAAACAGTGCCCTTTGCAGCGTAAATGTGTAACGACATAGGTAAATGAACTTTGGCATTGTTTGTTGTCGGTTAACAATAATTTTGTGACTATTATATGGTATATCCTTGGCGCAGTACATGATAAGCTACCAAATAGACTATTTACTTGTTATGTTTGCCTAACGCACCGACTGCAGGTCAACCAGTGCATGTATATGAACTATATTATACAGGGGTTTTAACATCATGATAGTCCTATTTGTTTCAGGTCACATGATTTTGCTATTATACCTAAATATTCAAGAATTTGTAACGCTTCTCTCCCGTCATACAACATGCAAAATAGGCCATTAAAAAATACAGTCATATCCAAATGTTTGTACACGTTTAACAAGCGTCGAGTTATAAAATTCACATGTTATTGTTTCTCAAAAGAATGCAAACTGCATACATTAGTTGTTGATGCATGAGACGGACAAACTCCGGGACAAACATTTTGCCTTTAGTGTATATACTTTGCATTCTGACCATTGACATATGATAATTGAGGTGAATGTAATGATTACATTTAAATTTACGAAAATGGCCGTGATGTCAGACAGCCGCAATTTTATGACAGGTATAATAGAGTAATGCTCTTCAAAACGATCGCTCTAAGTAGGAGCTCAGTATCACAGATAAATTTTTGTCAGTGAGCCGCGTTTAAATGTTTACAAAGCGTTATGTTATAAAGGCAACTAACCTACAACGTTTTTTTCAAACACCTACCGGTCAAAGGCAGCCATGCTATCTCGAAATGTCGATCTCCGTCCCGACGCATCGTTGTAAAATGACCAGCCTTCTGATGACAACAGCTCCTTAGCCCGACGTCGAAAATCCTCGATGGTCGTCAATGAGGTCTCTGACGAGGTCATCATGTTTCCTTCAAATGAAAACTATTGCGTATATGCAGTATACGCTGGAGATCGACTTGGGGCCTGCACCGTTTCTCGAAACAGTCATAAGTCTAACTCCTTGGATAACTGGATCAGCGCCAGTAAGCTCATTGTCTGATAAGCATTTCACGAAGCCCTCTTTGCCAGAATAAAGTACATTGTTCATCCTGACAAATATTAGGGACTTTTAGATTTGCACGACGACAATGTGGATTGCTACGATCGACGTCCTTTTAATGCACTGCCTTTAATGGACGTCACACGTATCAGTCCACGCAAATCTAAAAGTCCCTAATAAGAAGTTATGACGCCTCCGTCCCTGTCCTGTCTCTGTCATAACTTTTTAGTCGATGTGCAACGCCCTCACAAACCATTTAGGCTATGGCTGGCAAAAGGACTAGCAATCCCCCAGCTGTGACCTTTCTACACATTCCCTTAAACAGGGATTTGTCTTTCTTTAAACATTTCAAATTGTATGAAAAATATGTCATGTTTATAGATCTGTCCTTTTTCTTCAATGAACTAAACTGATTCTATCAAATTTTCGGAAGCAAAACAAAATTAAAAAAATTAGTGCTCTCATTTTCCATAGTTTTACATACTTTTTCAAAAATTCATTACTTTCTTATTAGTTGTCTGATTTTGTTCAAACTTGTTTTGATTGGTTTGTCTGATTTTTCTGCTTCTATTGAAAGTAAGTTATTTTTGGAGTGGACTTGGTCTTTAAGCAGAATTAAATCGAACGTAGAAAATAGGTTTTACACTTGAACTTTATAGTATTTATAGGCAACATTATTATTATTTGAGATGAGTCTTATTATTTTAAACATTCGCCGGGTTTATAGGCTAGCTTACTGATCTATTTCCAGTAAGTTTTTGAAAAATCAATTCAATGTACTGTATCTTCATCATAATCATTCTGCAAATCATAGAATTCCTCCTTGAATGATTTGTATTCTCGCAGAATACACATTTACTACTATATGAACACACGATTACTACAACGAATAAATAATGCTACTTTTAATGGGATCATGCACGTTTATGGATTCAAACAAACGGCAAAAATTGTACCCATAAAATCTTAGGAGTGGAAAGGTGTGATTGCATCATCAACTGTATTATCAATATTAGGCCAACAAAAAAAAATAATTTAGTGTTCCTCGATTGCTATTCTGGAGTAGGGGCGGGTGGGCGGATTTTTTATTGTGTGTGTGTGTGTGTGTGTGTGTCATCTTGTGATTTTGTTCCCCCTCCCCCTCCCATTTAAAAAAAATTCTTTAAATAATTTGTTTCCATAATTTTAATTTTTTTATTGGGATGTCAAGCATTTAAACAAACACAGTCTATAAAACACTTTAATATGGTAATAGACTAGTTTAATGTACAATGAATATCAAGACCAACATAAGGTATTTTTGGCTTTGAAATACAGTACCTTTTAAATCTCCATTGTACTACTTATCAGGGGGTCTCAACTCCGCTTCTGCATCCGTCTAGCCATTGGGAGATTTTGGAGAGTCAAAAAGTGTATGCTGTTTCCACTTTTCATGTATTAGCCTATGGAGACGACAATTTTTTAGTGCACCAGCGAAATGGGGATTTTGGACTGCGCGCAGCGCGCAAAATATTTAAATTAAAATTTGAAATATTCATGAGCTCTTTTCCACTTATGATGCAAAGAATAGTCAAATTATAAACGAAGTACAGAACTGCTATATGAACGTTTATCCTCCATCTAGTATTGGAGTATGTAAATACAATAAAGCTAGTCTAGGGTTAATAAAGAAAAGGTAAGTCTAATATCAGCACACCCTCCGCACACGTCCATCCACACAAACGGACGTTCGATCCATAGGTTCGAATACAGAGAGAGCCGAGAGAGAGTGGGCCGGGGGACAAGCCTGCTTTTCTTTCAGTTCGGTTTTCATCCTAATCGGAATAACCCAGTTTGATCTTAAAAGATCTGTTTTGTATTACAATTACAGAATCACATGTTCCATTTCACAAAACATGCTCATTAATTAGAAATTAACGAAAAATTACAATTTAAAATTCTCACGCTATACTTTATGGTGTATCTGATCGGATATGAATTGGCAAGAAAACGAATTTCGACCAATCAGTGGGGAGAGAGAGAGAGAGAGATAGATAGATAGAGAGAGAGATATATGGAGAGAGTTGGGGTATAGGGTTACGGTCTAAGCCAGCTCCTAAGTTCAAGTTTTTTTCTCGGATGAACTGGGAAGTGACATTCTTGTGCCTCTTAGCTTTGTCTGTGAATGAGAGACAATTCCTCTCAGCTGGACGTAGTTTGATCGATGAGGGTGGATTCATAGGTAAGATTTCCGAGCTATCAGTGATGGCGGAATGTCTTGAATACTGGTGCAACCTGTCAAATATCAAGCAAACAGTGCAATTTCATGAGGTATGTGTATCCTTAAAGTGTACCAACCATCAGAATATATATATATATATATGTATATATTATTTGCTCTGTACTTCAGGGGTATGTAGAGCTTGTTATATTGATAATATACGAGCTCTAGATATTGCATCTACAAAGAGATATTGTAAGACAATAAACATAATACTTGTCAGTATTTCGTTACTTGTATTTATTTATGGTTTATATATGTCATTTAATTTGTGGATATTTGAGTGGAAAATAAATCAAATCAAATCAAATCAAATCAAATCAAATCAAACAATCTGTCCCAACATAAAAGATGAAACAACAAATGTCAACTCTATCGACTACAATTTATTTCAGACAGGCAAACATGGTAAACTTACCTGAAATGCCTAGAGCTGTGTCCAGTTCGAATCGTAAGATTGATAATACCTTAGTAACTCCAGCCGGACCCTGTGAAAAAGAAAAAGAAAAAGAAATAGAAATATGAAAATGTGCCTAAAATATGAAGGTTTTTATATGTGCCGGAACATAGATATATTAGCCGCGGGTATCATGCGTACAACTGTAATAAGCATACGAGAAGAACAAGATTGCAATTAAATGAATTGTGAGTTCTAAACTCCTTACGCTACTCCATAGACTAGTCTAAGACAGTGAAAGTATAAAGTCTGAGTAAGACCGATCGGTAGTCTCCTTGACATTGAGTTCTCAGCTCCTTTCATATTCACACGTTCACTACTCCCCTGACTTTACGTGTGAGTCTAAGTCTCAGCAAGACCGTTCTGTAGTCTCGATCCTGACCCGTGAATTCTCAGCTCCTTCCATATTCACACGTTCACTACTCCCCTGACTATACGTGTGAGTCTCAGTCTCAGTAAGACTGATCGGTAGTTTCCTGGACCGTGAATTCTCAGCTCCTTCATATTCACACGTTACTCCCCTGACTATACGTGTAAGTCTAAGTCTCAGTGAGACCGATCGGTAGTCTCCTGGACCGTGAATTCTCAGCTCCTTCATATTCACACGTTCACTACTCCCCTGACTATACGTGTTAGTCTAAGTCTGAGTAAGACCGATCGGTAGTCTCCTTGACCGTGAATTCTCAGCTCCTTCCATATTCACACGCTACTCCCTGGATTAGTGTAAGTTTAAGTCTAAGTCTCAGTAAGATCGATCGGTACAGTCTCCTGGCCCAGGAGTTCCCAGCTACTTACATCACAAGCTAGCCCCCAGAGGGCTGGTCTACCTATTAGTACTGCCCGTGCCCCCAATCCGAGAGCCTTGAGTGCATCGGTTCCTGATCGTACCCCTCCATCCATGTAAACCTCAACACCACGACCTTTGACCGCTGACACTACTTCCGCAAGGACGTCAATCTGTGAACAGATTAAAAAACTTTCACTTGCACGAGATTATGAACATAATTCACTTCCATGACGGCAATGAAATTTTGAGAAATTAGAGAGGATGTTGAGGGGGAGATTGAAGAAAGGTGGCGCCGGGAAAGCAGTCTTTTGTGGTGTAGGATTGAAGGGTGCATTAACAACAAAAACAACTTTAGAGGTAAAAGGAAGCTTCTCATAGTACTTCTGTTGATTTCATAAACTTTCTGGGAATACTTTTGTGGCCCACATCACCTTTCCTCCTGCCGAATAGGCACAAGGGGACATAACTTTCCTATCGAATGAATGGCCCATCAAAAGTCTTATTAACATGTTTTCATTCCATAAAAAGGCCAAAAAAGCAACATTCGTTACCGGAGCAGGTACTCCATCCATGTGCCTTCCACCGTGAGCTGATACAATGATTCCAGAGACTCCGGCATCAGCCGCTTCCATCGCAGCCTCGCCTGTAACAAATATCAAGAAGTTATATGAGAGGGGGGGGGGGGGGGTTCTAAACATCATCACAAAGACCGTTAAAAAATTAACTCACAAAAGCAATTTCAATAAAGAATTGTAAATCACATGTTACTGATAACACCATCATCATCATCACTAAAGTCAGCAATTTCCCTCTCACGAGGGGTTACTGACCATCAAGATGACACCCCCCCCCCCCACTTCTTCCTATCTCGAGCATCCTCCTCATTGAGATATACATTACTGATCTTTTTGATCACCTTATCTTTTCACCAGGGGCGGTGACCACGGAAGGACGGGGGTACACGTCCCTCCACCGTCACCCCCCGGACAAATTTGAAAAAACGCAAAAAAAGAAAATGTATAGCAAATGCTGACTAAAGACTGCAACACACTTTTATGCTCTTGAGGGCCAAAGAGTGCAGCGTTTAGACGTATACATGTGCAAAAAAAAAATCTTCTCGTTGCGCTAGCTTGCATAAAATCCTTCAAAATGTACAAGTAAATATTGTAGAAAATCTGTATTCCGTTGGTATCACGTAAGTACAGTTTACACTGTATGTTTACAAGATTAAGAGTTATAGAAATATAGAAATTCCGCTTCCTGTCTGATAACAGTCACTTCCGTCGCCTTCGCCCCTCTCGTTCACTATATGCTCCTCCCTCGTCCCTCGCATTTCGTCCCCCCGGTCATGAAGAAATCGTCACCTCTGCCTATCACCCCCAAAATGGTTTTCCTTTCCGTTTGATGCCATCCACTTTAAGATCCCACGGTCTTTTCACAATTCATCATCTTCCCTTCTCCGTATCCGGACACCTACCC